GTCTCCTCCATGCAAGCACCGAGTTCCAGCATCTTCGAAAAAGAACACATCAAGACTGTCATACTAGACAAGCACAGAGTTCCAAGCAAGATTCGGATAATATTCTACAGTATAATAGACAATATTTTAACTTATTTGTCTTATTTAATCTAATTCAGCATACCAAACATCCCATAACTACGAAAAATGTGACATGGCAGAGAAAATAGACCTACCTTCTCGTATGCTGGAGAGAGCTTAAGTTGTTGTTCGAGCCAGTTATATACAAAAGCATCATCTTCTAGTCTTTTATGTTCTACTTCTAGCTTGTATACCTACATTTAACAAAGAATATATTGCAATCAGAATGATGAAACTAATTGCCAAGATAAGTACAACCAGTCTACTCACCTGATCATGCAGGCGGTTAGCTGAAGACCTGTCCGCCTTAAATAATAGGGCCTTGGTTATTATGAACTTCCGTTTGACGACCTCGGATCTGTTCACAGTGTAATTACATTATGATTGAGATCCAATATTAGGATTGCGAAAAAAAAAAAAAAAAATAATCTTTCAGTTCCAAATTAGTTGAATGGAAGAAATTCCTATCCAAAACTAAGGTTAGATGAATACTGACAACGCACAAGCAAACGATCAAGGAAAAACACATAATCTGCAAGGCCTTGGAAAATAAGAAACCTGTCATTAAAGACTAGTATGCAATTTGCTTAACAACTGAGTAATAGAAAATCAGTTTTTTTTTTTTTAATAAGAACTGTTGCTTGAGATGAGCACACAATTTACTAAAACTACAACTTCATTTGCTAGCATCATATGCATATCTGAACTCATCTGTTCTTAATAGCCGTAAGATGAGTAAATGAACAATATAACTTCAGATTATGTTATTTTCTTAGAAGTTGCATGTGCGTATGCTTCAATTATATAAAGCTGAAAACTTTTGATCCAAACTATTCCTTAAAGTGAGAGAAGGAATTTGGCAGGACATGTATACAAAGATTTAGGCAACCATGCAATAAACTCAGCATCTGAATCATTGCTTGTCTGAATTAACATAAGGAAAACTTTGCAAACATACTTGTTCTTCAGCTCGTTTCTCGCCTCAATCAGGCAATTGATGAATTTGCCCATCTGCATTATTCACCATAAGAGAATGTATGCTTTAGATGATTCTAATAATTTTAGAGCACAAATATGAAATTTTGAATTCTAAAAATCAGATGCAATCATGAAAATGACATAATATTTGCACCATGCTAGTTAAATGGTTGGCCATGATTATG